GCTGACATATTAGAGTGGTACATATGAAGGGATTTCAACCTTTTCACCACTAGACTTTCTCGTACAAATTTTCCTGCACTTTTTTTCTTATACTCAATATTTTTAGTAATAAATCCTAATTTTGGAGCCAACAGATACAATTTGCGTCAATTTTCAGTTTTTGGTTATTTTTGTCCCAATCCTCTGAAGGAAAGTGCAGATTATAAAATATATTTTATGAATTTGTGATGAAAAGAGTGAACTGGTGGTGAAAAGTTGCTGTATCAGGATCAGTAATGAGGATCAAGTGTTCAGTTATTCTGGAGAAATTTGTCATATTTGTGGCTCCTGTGTGCGATACAGGCAATTCAAGCTCTTCTGGTTGAGTTCACCCTAACTACTCTTCCTGTAAAAGTGTGTTTGCTATCTCAAAAACCTCTTATCTTACATGTTTCACACCAGATTAAGTTCTTGTCAAAATTTGTGCATATTAATTAATTAATTTGCATAATAATTGTTAGCATTTTAGCTATACATCTGAAGAGGCATTCACTACAGATCTGTTTATCGCAGTGATGCAAAGTACTTTATTTTCACTCATAATTTATTTTTGAATGGATGAATCAGCGAAAATAAAATCCGGTGAAAATACCCTTTACCCTATATTTCATATTCAATTTATCAAAAGTTTGATTGGAAACAAACTTGTATACAAAACTGCCAAAATGTTTTTTCAGTGAAAATTTATTCCACCTAAAATAAAATATTTTATAGTAGTTGTATTTTTTGTACGAATTTTTTTAAATGTGCGAGTTTTAATCCAGTAATACCAGAGGGATAAGAGATATTTCAGGGAAATATCTCTACTTTGAATACTTGATTTCCAGGAATAGCAATCTTAGGGTATGTTTGAGATGGGGGTGGTGGTGTTTAGTGGGTGTAGTTTTATCTAAATAAAGATTGAGACATTTTTGTTGACATTTGTATTTATCATTGAAGATCACAATTTACCAACTACATTTTTGGACGAAATGTACAACTTGCCACCAGAGGGCAGAGTGGTGTTGATCATATTACTGATTGATCAGCATCAACCTTACATTATTGACTTCTTCTTGAAAAGGGCAAGCCTGCTTGCTTTGATACCTTGTACATGTATATACTGTATGTACCTTGGGTGGAATTCTCTCAGATTGTTCATTTCGTGAGGTTATTCTTCAAATTTTAGTGAAAATTTTTGTCATTTTGGGTAAAAAAATTATATTTTTGACTTGCTTGAAAATGCCTAGCCCAATTGCTTCGATATTTTATATATAGACACCTTGACAGATTTGTTTATTTTGTGAAGATAAGTTTAATTTTGTAATTAAAGTGAATATTTTTGGTAATAACTTTCTGCTTTCAACTGACTAATTATAAAGTGGAGATATATCAGTTGACTAGGCTTGAAGATCGGCGTTGTAGTTTTTCAGGTGACATTGCCTGACTAATCTCGGCAATGTGATTATACCATATACACTAGACAACTCGCAAGGCAATGCATACACTGCATTATGGACTGCTTTATACTGAAACTTTGAAAAATGGAAAGCAGATCAATAGTAAAAATACCTAAAAATGACAATTAATATTTTGTTATTTTCTAGTTTGTGATTTCACACATGATTCACGGACAAATCCAGAAGATATATTTTTAAGCACATATGAAGAGAGACCTGTTGGTAAGTTCAGTTATGATATTTATTTTAGGATGAATGGTCTTAGAGTTCTAGTTATAAAAAAATGTAAACCAACCACTTTATTTTGTTGCGTTGTCATTTGTCATCTAGAACATACTAGTATAGTTAAATTTCTCAAAAAATAATATTCATTTTTATTATTATTGAAACCTCATTGTATTTTCATTAAACTTTATTTTGAATGTAGCGAAATTAGAAGTGTCAATTTTCTGAACGGTTGGAATAAAGCATTTTTTTCTTTATTATTGTAGATGACTGTAGATCAAAGCAAGTTGTATGACCTTTTTAATATTGTGTTACCCACTTCTGTCACCAGAGATGCTTTGTTTATGATTTATATGAAAGTTATGTGATTGGTGGCAGTATACAAGTAAAACAAGGAACGATTTTGGTTCACTGATTGGTCAATCTTTATCATACATTGTTAAAAAACTTCTCTTTAGTTTCTTAAATTTCTCTTTTCAGATGAGACATTGATAGCCCTTGATGTTGAAGGCACAATTGGTACATCTGGGGATATTAAGCTAGAAATAGATGATACAACATATTTAAAACTAGATGAAAAGAACATAACCTGGAAAATGCAATATGATCTTGATGTAAGTATTTGTTTATTTCAGCAAATTCAACATGTACATTTTCATATACCGGTAAAGGATTTTTTTTGTCAGTATATTAACCTGAATAACATATATTAATGATTTATATAGTATGGTATATTTTTGGAATGTGTGCATATTTTAGAGCATATAGCAGTGACAATATTTTGGGTTAAAATATAATTTAATCGTACAGTATTTGTAATATACTTAGAAATAGCAATTTTGTAGTGGTTTCAATGAAAACTCCTTTTATCATTAAAAACCTACTAAAAATATAAATTTGTGATGTTAAAGAAAATGCTCCGAATGTACGCACTAATAATTTTACTTCTTTGCATGTGTGTTTCCTAGTTATCTCAAACATCCTAGTATTGATCACTTCAAACCTTCACTCATAAATCATATGCACATAACGTTGAAATTAATGTGTAATTTTTTTTTCCAGACAATCAAAGTGAAGCAAGTTACAGTGAAAGTAGATTGTTATAAATTGTCTAACTCATTTAAGGTAATTTTATTTTAAATTATGTAATAATATGCATGGTAATGAAGGAACAGTACTATGATTCGTGAGCAAAATGTTCATGGCTTCAATATTTTGCGAACATATGCCCCAAACAAAATTAAAGCTACCATATTTTCCTATTAGAAGTGCATCTTCAATACAAGCACATACAAATGAAAAATTACTTGTGTTGTATACAGAATAATTAAAATAAGACTTAATTTCCATATAGGAAATGCCCCCCCCCCCTCCCACCTTACTTTCTAATAGAGCAAATGTGGTATTCAATTTTTTCCACCAAAATCTTGTCCCACATTTTGCAAATTTCTTCTTGGCCCCAAAACTTGAATAAAATTAATTATAGTAGCAAGTGTTGTATGCTTGTACCAACTACTGAGTGGTCATGAGATTATACCAACCCACAAGGTTTTTTAAGGACTTTTTAAGGTACATTTTGGGCTAAGGCCATACAATATTGTATATTTGTCATGTTATTTTTGCTAACTATCCAGCAATTATGTTAAATTAAAGTCTCTTTGAAATTAAAACTAATTTTTCACAAAATACCTGTCATTCTGGCCACAAGTTCAAATTCTTGTTTCTATGGAAAGAAACTACCCCCCCCCCCCGATTTCTCAACTTCTCTTGGTTCAGACAGTATTAGATTTTTGATTTTGTATTTTAACCCAAAAAATTGTAGAAAATATATTTCAAACTACACAATATCTTGAGTAAATGCTTTGCAAGATAATCATTTAAATATTCCCAAAAAATAGAGAACTACTACCTAACAACTTTCAGCAAGAAATGATTCCAAAACAGAAACACATCAAATCCAACAAGACAATTTGTTCCAAAATGCTGACAAATTAGCAGAATCAAACAACATCTATTTCAACCTTTGATCTCTTGTTTATTTTTTAAATTTACAACTTTACTCCCCTTTCCTGAAAAAACAACAAAACAAATTTACCTCAAATTTTTTTATTCTTTTTGAAAGTGAAACTGAGTGTAAATCTACGCTATGATAGTAATGATATGCAAAAGAAGTTGAGTATAAGCATACATTAGTGAACCCTAATGTTAACCAATCTTGTTTTTTTTTGTTTTTTTTCAGAAATCAATCAATATTCATATAGATATTTATGATATCAACGACAACGATCCTTTCTTTATTGGTGGACCATATGTATTAAACATCTCTGAGGTTTGTACAGCTATGTTGTCATAACCTAATAGATTGATTTGAACCATACATTGTATCTTAGAACTTCCTTTTTAAATTAAGGTTTTTTATTAGGGTGGTGGGGTTGGGGTAGGATAGCTGGATCCCTCAAAATACTTCTGAATGCAGTAAAATGCAAAATTTTTTGTCAAAACAATTCTTTGCTCTTCATTTCCAACTTTTGTGCCAAATAAATTTGTTTAAAAGTAAAACATTTTTTTT